GTAAATGCAATTCACTCTAACAGAATCTCCAATGCAGTTCTCCAGCCAGCGTGATGTTATCATCTACGCAGTGGCCACGGCACTCGGTACTCTTCCCGTCACCCTGATTCTTGTTCTCACGGTCACCATGGCCGCAGGAACCAAGGTCATGGTACGCAGAAACGTTGTCGTTCGCAACATGCGCTCTCTCGAAGCTCTTGGCGGTGTTACCAGTAAGTCTCACACACCCCATGGTACAATCATGATGTGACAGTGTCAGCTAACACGAGCCACTTGAGACATTTGCTCTGACAAGACTGGAACACTGACGCAGGGCAAGATGGTCACCAGAATGGCTTGGATTCCTTTCCATGGAACATATTCCGTCGATACCAGCAATGACCCTTACAACCCCGAAGTTGGAGCCGTTACGCTCACCCCTCATCAGCCCAGCCACGCCCAACACAAAGCTGAGGCAACACCTGTCCAGCCCCGTGAAGAGAGCCACCCAGCCGTCAAGCACTACCTGGATATCGCCTCGATCGCTAATCTTGCTGTTGTAAAGAAGGCTACCGATGAGGACCGCTGGGAAGTCAATGGTGACCCAACCGAGATTGCCATCCAGGTCTTCGCCGCAAGGTTCGGGCGCTCTGGCCTGAACGGCGATTCCGACATGGCACATGTGGCCGAGTTCCCCTTCGACTCCTCGGTCAAGAAGATGTCCATGCTGTGCCGAAACAAGAGTGACCAAAGCCTTCAAATTTTCACCAAGGGTGCTGTTGAACGTGTTCTCGAGTCTTGTTCTACCTTTTCCCAGGCCGGCGGCGACCTTTCTCCATTGACAGAAGACTTCAAGTCGACAATCCTGAGGAACATGGAAGCTCTGGCTCGCCGAGGTCTGCGCGTCCTCGCCCTTGCCAACGGCTCAGTCTCGCAAACCGTTTCAGACGAGGACGCTCGACAGGGGAAACTCCATCGAGACGACTACGAGCATGGCCTTACTTTTCGAGGCCTGGTTGGCATCTACGATCCTCCCCGCCCCGAGTCCCGCCCCAGTGTATTCAAGTGCCACCAAGCCGATATCAAGGTTCACATGCTCACCGGTGACCATCCGGAGACTGCACGCAGCATTGCCATCGAAGTCGGCATCCTTCCTTCCCGCCCTGACCTCCTTCGCGCCGACATTGCGGAAAACCTTGTCATGACCGCCCACCAATTCGATGCTCTCACCGATGAGGAAGTTGACCGGCTGCCTGAACTGCCCCTGGTTGTCGCTCGCTGCGCCCCATCCACCAAGGTCCGCATGATCGATGCCCTTCATAGACGAGGCTGCTACGTCGCCATGACTGGTGACGGAGTCAACGACAGCCCCAGTCTGAAGCGAGCAGATATCGGTATCGCCATGGGTCTTGGAGGAAGCGATGTGGCCAAGTCCGCATCCGACATCATCCTCAGCGACGACAACTTCGCCAGTATCCTCAACGCTGTCGAGGAGGGCCGTCGCATCTTCGACAACGTGCAAAAGTTCATGCTCCACGTCCTTGCTGCCAACGTTGGCTTCGTGTGCACTCTTCTCATTGGTCTGATGTACAAGGACGAGAGCGGCACCTCGGTGTTCCAAGTCACCCCCGTCGAGATCCTCTTCATGCTCCTCGTCGCCGGTGCGTTCACTGAGACAGGTCTTGGTTTCGAGTCGGCGTCGCCGGACATTCTTCGACGCCCTCCCCAAAGCGTAAGCAGCAATCACCCCTTCCAAGCCTTGTGACCCCCCTTGACTCTTGCTAACTCAATGTCTCGCATCACCACAGCTCAAGTACGGCGTGTTCACCCCCGAGTTCATCGCAGACATCGTCGCATACGGCATCATCATGGCCATCACCCTTCTCAGCTCCTTCTCGACCGTTCTCTACGGCTTCTACGACGGGAACCTGGGCCACAACTGCAACGTGGGGTATTCGGAGCAGTGCCACGGCGTGTTCCGCTCCCGGACGACGTGCTACACGGTCATGATGTGGGCCTTCTCCATCTTCGCCTGGGAGCTCGTCGACTTCCGGCGCTCCTTCTTCGACGGCATCATCTCCAACCCTAAGGATTGGGCCCTCCGCCTCTGGCGCAACCCTTTCCTCTTCTGGTCCGTCCTCGTCGGCTTCTTCAGCACCGTGCCCACCATCTACATCCCCGTCATCAACAGGGTCGTCTTCCTCCACAGCCCTATCGACAAGGAGTGGGGCGTCATCTTCGCCATCTCCTTCTTCTTCCTCGCCGGCGCGGAGGCGTGGAAGTTCGCCAAGAGGGTCTACCTCCGCAGGAACAACCTCATGCACAGGAAGGACGCCGGCACGGGGGAGGCGGACCTGGAGAAGCGCACCTTTGAGAGGTTCTACGACTCAAGTTCGGTCGACGATTCTAGCAACTAAGCCAGCAGCTCCCAGTGAAGGGGGTCGGTCCCCTATCTTATAATATCAAGATCCTGTATATAGAATGAATGAATGAAATAACAAATACTAGTCTACGGCAAATGTGAATCGGTGTTGTGCGCTTGCAAAAGTCAATTACATTCAAGACTCTATTGATCCAACCTCACACGCCCAGTATACGATGGCTTCCAGGTTCTCGCCAGGACGCTAATTAATCGAGGTTAACGTTGAAAACAGCTCCAGCACAGGCCCATTGGCTGGCTCCAAGAAATGCGATGATCCATCAATCAATCAATTAACACGAGGCCAAGTGACGAAGGTCTAGCGCAAATCCAGGAGTAAAAAAGTTCTAGATCAGATCAATTCGTGCGTCAGGGAGCAGTGATGCATCTTCTAGCCAAGTCGTCATAGATGCAGAAACGCCTATTCGTGAGGTCCTCAATGGCAAAGAAGAAATTTTCCTGCCTCGCACAAAATGCCTTGATTCCCTTTTTTTCATTCTCAAACACTATTCTGAAGAGTAAAACTCAGGTGTGGACGGTGTCCATTGGACTTACCCTTAGTTACGTCTCTTACAGAGAACATTAATTAATTAAGTGTTGATTTTAGTGTTATTATGTTTAAAAAGAAGCAGCTAGCATAAAAAAGGACTTATTCATTCTTCTCTAAAAGTATAATAAATAATTTAAGAGCATCCTGGCTATAATGATACAGGCAGACTCGTTGTCACGGCCGTATAGGGTAGGCGGCAACCAAGGCAAGCCAAGAAGCCGAATCTGAGATAACCCGAAAGCCGACAATTTTATTCGCCGGCAGCGACTCAAAGTCCCCAGCTCGTCCCAAGGTGGAAAGCTCGCATCAAATCCCTGCTTCCCAGATCGATGACATATTCCAACATACATCCTCTAAAACCGCAAGCAGAGAAACTCGGAGCGCATCGCCAATGAGTTTCCACGGCCTCATCCGGCCCCGCGTCGCCCGCCCCGCGGTGGCCGCCGCAAGACGGTCGTACGCCTCAGTGCAGGTCGTCAGCCCCCTGGCCTACGACTTGCATGAGCCGGCGAAGCCTAGGACGGACAAGCAGAACGAGCCCATCCTGTTCCTCCACGGCTTGTTTGGCTCCAAGAAGAATAACAGGGCAATCAGCAAGTGTGTTGCCCCGTCCATTTCTCTCATCTTGGTTTTTCCAATTTGAGCTAACGTCGAAAAAAATTATCAGAGCCCTGGCGAGAGACTTAGGCAGATATGTCTATGCTTTGGTGAGCTTCTACCTCTCGAAGCTAGAGGGCCGTTTATGTTGGGAGGTTGTTCTAAACATCGGCTTTTCATAGGACTTGAGAAATCATGGCGAGTCACCACATGATAAACGCCATGACTATACGGCAATGGCTGAGGACGTGGCACACTTCATCCGGGAGAATGGTCTCAAAGAGTCTTCCATCATTGGCCATTCCATGTAGGTTTTTTAATCAACCTTCCTGCCGACAGTTTTCCTCTGAACGGCACAAGAAAGACTTGGCTTCATGTGGGAACTAACACCGGCTCAAAGGGGTGCAAAGACAGCCATGACGCTCGCATTGGGTTCTCCCGACCTTGTCGCCAACATCGCATCCGTCGACAACGCCCCGTCCGACAAGAGTCTCGGAAAGGGCTTCGCCGACTACGTCCGGGGCATGAAGCAGATCGATGCCTCCAACTGCAAACGGCAAGCCGAGGCCGACGAGATTCTCAAGCAGTACGAGGAGGTGAGTTACTCGAAACCAACGAAATTTGCCATCAATGGCAAGCAATCTCCCTCTCCCATTTTTCAATCGCTAAAGCCGCATTGATATTCTAGTCCATCACCATCCGCCAGTTTCTTCTAGGCAACCTCTACCGCCCTCCAGGCGAGGACGTCACCAAGTTCCGCGTCCCGCTGGACGTGCTCGGCCGCTCCCTCGACAACCTGGGAGACTTCCCCTACAAGGACCCGAACCAGATCCGCTTCGGGAAGCCCGCGCTCTTCGTCCGTGGGACCAAGAGCAAGTATGTCCCGGACGAGGTCCTGCCTCTGATAGGCCAGTTCTTCCCTCGCTTTCGGTTGGTCGACATCGACGCGGGCCATTGGCCCATCTCTGAGCAACCCGAGGCGTTTAGACAAGGTAACGGTGAACCCTAGAAAATAATGGGGCATTCCGGGCTGACAATTCACAATTTCCAGCCATCGTCGAGTTTCTCTCGCCACAGGAATAATCAAAAGATGGGGGTCCCTGGGGATTAGAGTCTTGTAAAATACTTGGTGTGGAGTGGAACTAACCCTCCCGTCGTAAATATTACTAGAGGGGAAGAAGGTTTGGGCAATAGAAGGCAAACGGATGGGCTACATAGACGAGCGAACCGCATACCTAAAAGACAGGTTTCATTCATCATACATCTTCACAGTTTTGGGATTAGACGACGTTAACAGAGCCTTTTTTAACCATTTCACATGGGAATGATGCCTAATCCCCATACGCCATTTGTGATGACCGAAAAAATGCCAGGGATAATGTGAATTCCGTCTATCACAAAAATCCCTATGCTTCCACTGCCGACTCCTACCCTCTAAACGCGGTAAAACACACTTTAAACGCTAGCAAGGGCAGGACCATCCTTGAACTCCCGCTCAACCTTCTGGCCCGCGTCGTCCGTCGCCGACTCGCCGTGGAGTGCCATCAGAGCACCGAGATCGAACTTGGGAGACTTCATCAGCTTAACCTTGCGGATGTGGACCTATGAGAAAAAGAGGCGTTAGTCTGCTATTCATGACATCCGTTGGTAGAGAGCAATTGGATGCGTCAACTTACGTGCTGCAGGGGGTAGATGCCCTGGGTGGCCTTCTCGATCTCGCGGCCGATAACCTCAGGAATCAGCTTGGAGGTGAGCTGGGTAAGGGTGCAGGTGGAGGCCTCGCGCTGGATGATGTCGATCATCTTGCCACGGATGGCACGGATCTGAGAGGAAGCGGCGTAGGTGGTCTTCTTGACCTGGTTCTGGCGGCGCTTGGTGAAGCCAATGGCGAAGAGGCGGATGAGGTAGTCGTCGGTGGTCTTGACGGTGACGTTGGCCTCAATGAGGGTCTGCCACTTGCGGACGAGGGATCGCAGCTTGTCGGAGGTGAAGTCCAGACCGTGGAAGTTGGTCAGGCAGTTCTTGCCCTGGACCTCGTCGATTCTGAGGCGAACCTTGCGGAAAGCGTGCTCCTCATCCTTCTGGAGGTCGGCGAGGGAGACCTCAACGACACGGCCCTTCAGGGCGTCGTTTGCGTTCTTGAGACCGGTGGTACGGTTGACCAGGGTCTTGCCAACACTGCCGCCCAAAATGTCAGCCACAATTCTCAGCTAAACTCAAAGTCCTCCCGCAGCGAGCAACCAATGCTGCTCGAAATCCCAAATTGTTGCCGCCAGGTCGAGGTTTGACTCACTCTCGGATGTTGAAGGGCTGGGGGGCCTGTGATGCAATTGCGTTAGCATTCAAGATCGCTCGTGTGCGTTTTGGCAATTTGACGGAATCGCGCGTACCTTGATCGAGTACCAGTCCTTGCGGGTGAAGGGGTCCACGGTCTTCTTCTTGAGGCCCTTCTTGCCCTTAGAGAGTCTCTTGTTCTTTCCAACCGCCATGTTTGCTGGCTATGTGTCTGTTGCACAGTTGGAATCTGAAGATGCTGTGGAGGGATTGGTGGAGGGGCGAAATAATTTCAATTCTTGTGTGCTTCGCCTTAGGTCTAAGCGAGCCAAAATCCATGGGAAAAAAGCCGGGCCATTGATTCTTCCGTACCCACCGAAAAAAACCCAATTTGTGGTCAGAAAAATGTCTCTGCACGTGACCTAGACCGCACTCCGCTTTTGGTCCAGGAAAGGAAGCCCACCACCAGAACCTGTTAGTCACCCAATTCTCTTCGCGCGACGAGCCAGAAGAGGTACGACTGGCAGTAGTAGCACACCATCCCACTCGCACCATGCAGTGTCACGTCCTTGACAGGTCAAGCGCCACGCGTCTAGAAATTCTAATTGTCACAATACGACCACACAGTGAACGTCTGGAAGGCAATCTTTAGCCACATCGATGTCACATTTGTCTAAGTTTTACTAGGGAGACGATCTCCATGTTCTGGAGATGTCCGACCATCCATCAAGCAGTGTTACCACCCATCTTGAGAAAATAGATTGTTTGTTATGTACAGATTTTCGGTTCGGGAGTGATCACCAAGCTCGAACCTTCCGGTCCCAGGCCTAGGCCCTCGCCTCCCGTATCCAAGTGTCATCACTACCACTGTGAAGTTCACATTGCCATGATGATCTTCCTTCTCTTACATTCGGATTCTCCATCGTCTTCCGCCGCAGCCCATGGGTCACCACTCCACTTCATCCCATTTCTGGGCATTCTGATGTGGGAGGAGGGCTCTGGAAATCTGAATTTTGGAATCCTTGTTTTGTCCACCCGTGTGGAGGATGTTCGTTCCTCCCAAAGTGAAGTTGCGTTTTGTGGCACGCTCGTGTTCGTAGCTCATGAATCGACCTTACTCTCGCCATACCAGGCAGGTATCCTTTGTGAGTGTCTCGCCGCTAACGTCCTCAAGCCTCTCCTCTGCCCAAACTCTCTCTTTCAGAGTCCGGGTTGGAATTTGGAACATGGTCTTTTGTGTGTGTTTTTTTAAATGCTTAATGGCATAGCGCCCGCTTCTCAGGGCTGGCTACTCAGGAATACGATTCCTTCTCGCCCTCTGCCTTTGGGCTCTCCCAATTGTCAAAGCTGGGAAAACTAAAGTAGCAGTCTGTTGTGGATTGTCAGCAATTGTTCGCTTGGCCTATTGATGTAATCAATGTTCACATACCGGACAGAGATATTGAGCTGTTCAGTCGAGAGATCTCAGCACTATCAGTCTCGCCACGATTGTCCCGATCAATGATTGACTCAGGCTGTGAGTGATGGACTAATGATTCTGAACCCATCCCGCAAGGTGTTGATGAAGGATAGATGGCAACTTTGCTGAGCAGATCTGATGCTCGCTGTGGAGAGCTGGGGCTGACTAGTGAAGCTTGGAAACTGTTGGATGCAGTAATAGATGGCTCTGTAGCTGTCGATCGTAGCAGTCTAGGGCGCTGGCGATTGGATGAATGGGGGTGGGAATCCCTCCGGGCTGATCTGCTGGTGTACATTTTGGCGACGGGTAGTTGATGGGTATCCAAGCCAGGTGATGGTATAGTCCGGTAGGTTGCTTTTGGAGATCAAGAGACGTGAATTGCACGACTGGGTATGGATTCGCTATGTTGAAAACAAGAAACAATGTTAGATACAGACGTGAACAAGCTCGAGCAAGATGTGCGAGGAGCTTGGAATATCTAGGTCCGTCGACCTAAAGTCAATGACCCTCCATCCCGGGGAGCCGGCCACCTCCGCAGTGCCCGCACACCCCTCCCCCTGAACAAAAGCAGGCTGGATGGAGCACAGAGAGCCCGCTCGCCACCTGGCGAGACATTGTTGGAGATGGCCGTGTCACCGCATGTGTCTCGTGGTGTGTGGCCGCGCCTCGGGCTGGGGCTGGGAGGGGTGTGGGCTGGAAGATGGGAACCGGGTGGAAGCCGCTGACATGGGCGCACTGGCTAATTGCTGGCTCGCCTCGCTTTAATGCACGCTCGCAGGCAGCGTGCGGGGCCGCTCCCACAATGGCCATTCAGAGGCGCCGCCAGGCCTCGCCATTGATACCCAACTCGCTTTTCACAGCATGTGAGGTGGTGCCTGGTTGACTTTTCTGCTCCCTGGAAATTCCCTTGCACCCCCATCTTCGGACCGGTAAAGGTCGCTGCACCGTCCAAAAGGGAACCCACGGTCTGGGTCGTGCCGCCGGCCTTCGTGTTCATGGGGCAGACCGCTGGTCCATTGGGCCAGGCATCTGCCCTTTTGGATTTAATGCCTACCGCCTGGGGACCGCCCCAACGCCAGGCCCCTCCGACCTCTCCCAGCCTGTGGTGGTGGTCGGGACATATGGGGCGGTAATGGTTGCCGCTACAACGTCGGGTTGGCCCTTTGCCAGGGACTGATTGACAGGCTGTCCAAGCATCCGAGCTGCTGGCTACCCAAACTAGCAGCAGTGGTGAGACGAATCACCCCAGTACCCAAGGTCTTGTTCTAACATCTGTATGCGGCCAGCCAGATCACGCTCTCCCCATGACCACGTAGGTAGGAATAAGTCTTGAGCCTGCGTTGCTAGTACCAGGCCCGGTTTTGCACGTGGTGGTTAGTGGTTCGCCAGTGCAGACTAGGGAGCTATCCGATGTCCCGGTGCCGTGCGGTGAGAGCCTGATCAGTGATCTCCTTTTGAGGAGCTCATCTTACTCCGTACTCGCGCTGGCTCTGGTAGAGCAGGTGACCTCATTTCAACGCAAAGGTGAATCGCTGTACATGTACATAGCACCATCGTCATCCTTGCAGTTGGCTGATATAATTTCCACGTTAATTGCTTCATTCAAGTAAGCCTCGTTAGTGCTTCCAGCCTCCATCATGTCATTCCAGCATCGGATTTAGGGGCCATGATGGGGAACCAACAGTCATTGTGTCTCATTTACCATCCTAAGGGGCTGTTTGCGCGCCAAGATACCTCCTTGCATCCATCTACCTCCGCTGCCAAGAATCCTACCCTATACACTAGCACAGACGTTCTACCACCAATCGAAAGTGGCTTATGCAGTCTATCTTCCCGACTTCCAAATGTGTCTCTGCCTACAGCCCCTGAAAAGTCCATGACGTGTTGGCCATGACCTGCGACTTGTTTCCTTGCCGGAGCGCATGCCGAATGACAAGTTGGCCGCCCCCTGCCTCCTCAGTGATCGATGCTGCGTAATAATGATAAGCGTTCGTCATACAAAAGCCAAGAACTGGTTTATGAGTTGGTACTTACTCTTCCCAAATCCTGCCTTGGACTGCCTCCAACTCGTCTGTTGTGAGGCGTTTTCCGGCGGTGAAATAACCTTCGCATCGTAAGCTTCTTTTTGGCTTGACAACACTGCGGCACTTGACCATTGGACCATCTTACCTGCTGTAATCTTGGCGTCGATTTCTACACGCGAATCTGCGGGTATAAGCTCGTCCGGCAACTCCACTCTCTCGTGAATGGGAATTCTGTGGATCATGTTTTAGCTCTGGACTCCATCAAGTGATACTCAATTCTTGTCTCAAGTGTATTCTGATCAGCAACTTACCCTTGGCCTACGATGGCATCATGTTTCATGCTATGGATCGTTAACATAGTCAACCTTGGCACCTGACGCTTCGCTGTGACTCACTTGCTCATGCTGAGCATGCGATCGATCTTGCTTATGCCTAGCCAGTGAAGAATATCTGGCATCAGCGCTTGGAATCGCATGTCTTTGACTCCAGCAATGTTTTCCGTCCGCTTGAAGTAATCCGATGCTCGATCGGCTCCTCGCTTTCGCGCATTGTACACGACTAATAAGGAGAAAAGAGACAAGAGTTAGTACTCGAGCGGGCGGTATCTGAGAGGCATAAATCGGGCATCAATCTGGACTTGATGTATCACTTACGGTACTGCCAATCTGATTAGTTATCTGATCATATTGTGGTCAAATCAATTGGTTCCAACGTACCTTGGTCACCTCTCCCAGCGCCCTGCCTTCCTTTCTGAAGTAAATGACGACACCGCTGCCTCCATTCTGCGCCTCCTTGACGGCCTCCTCGATGCCGAAAATGAGGTACGGGCGACAAGTACAAATGTCGGAACCAAAGACGTCACTTCCGTTGCACTACCATCATAATTTAGTGAGGTGGCCCGAACGAAGATCACGGATGACTCTGACCTCGTCATGAACTCTCAGAGAGAGCCGCACGTTTGCGTCTGACATCTTTGCTGGATCGCCGAAGCAGTAAACAGTGAGACCACCTGGTTGAGTCAGATTCTATCCGGTATTTTAGCAACACTCCCATGAGTACATACCGATTGGAGGGAGGAAGAGCTTTAAATCGCCTCGTGTAATGAGCTGTCGCCAATTAGCGGTCGCCATGAGTTTGTGTTTTGAAGATCCCCACCTCAGGATAGCTGCCACCAGTATGCTCGAAGAGTGAGCGGCGGAGAGTCCCCTCATCTTGGAATCGTCAGCGAGCACTCGGAAACTAGCATTTGGTTCCACCTACCAATGCCGAATCTCTCAGCAACACCGGGAAGATACCAAACCTGCACATGTTAGACCTGGTGGGATTTCTTGATCATGTCGAGAGGGATGTTAAAACACACAGGCTCAACAGCGAACTTGGTAACTGCAAGTTCGCCGAGATCGTTCAAACATATTTTCCCATCCGGGACCCTTGTACTTGATTAGATATGCTCGTCACTAATGAGCCACCCTGAACTCACAGTCGGCCTTTCCTCACACTCTCCTCGAGCTCTGGTAGCTTGGTAGTATGTTAGAGGACGAGCATTTTATTCTTGCTAAGATAAGACTAACTTTCATGTGGGCTTTGGTGATGGCAATGGTTGGACGGATGTCAACTAAGTCGCAGTCAGTAACCGTTGTTTCTCCCCTAAACAAATGGAAGCTCGCCCATACCGTCATCCTTTCCAATGATGTCCTTGAATAACCATGGCGCCATATGTCCATATGGATCCATGGCCACGATCTTGTCTCGGTCGCCCCACTGAGGGAACGGTCCAAGGTTGACGGCGGGCTCCGTGTTGGTGAAATCCGGCCTGTCGAGCGTCAATTGCCTGAAACTCTCATTTCGTACAAACCGGGCACAAACCTATGGTCGATGTTTAATTCTTTACTGGCCACCGCTAGGGCATAGTAAGTAGAATATGAACCTCCGCTAAACACTCGAGTCAGAATTTAGGTGTCTCTGTTATTGTTCTTCAGAGGAAGACTAACTGGGCTCCGATTGCTAATAGACAATAAACAAATCAGTAACCTTGCTCAACATGGGACGAAGGAAAAGAGGGTAGACGGACCGTTGCGTTTACGAATAGTATTTGCCAGTCTTGAAACAACGACGGGGCCTCTCTTCAAAGGATCGGGATTGCCCCAGTCCATGGGAAGAGGGCTGATACCAATCTGCTTGGGATATGTTCTTCACACCATCAGTGCACGAACAAGATATTAGACGCTGTCTGTCACCTACGTGAGGACAATACGAGACGTGAATGCGGATTTCTGGGCGGGAGACGCAGCCTCCGATGATCGCTGAGTCTTGCCACTATCATCTTCAACGTCCCGAGAAACAGATTCGATAGAAGATACTGGGATAGCGCCTTGCGCGTCTCCGTCTTCACTCTTCACTGATCTGGCTACGAGAGTTGCTGGAAATGGGGGCGAGGCAGTGTCAGGGAATGCCACGTTCACACGATTAGATAGAGCCTCAACCGTAGCGACAAGCTGCGACTGGGTCTCCTGAAGCTTCAGGATGGTGGCAATAAGGAGATCATTTTGCTGTGAATTCTGATCCATGTTGAAAATCGAAGGACTGGGCACCACTTGTGTTCGCCAAGTGGACGTATATTCACACCAGCAGACTGAGGAAATCCCGAGGAACGTAGGATCTAAGTATGTGGGATGTAGAGAAAGAAAGCACACGTTGGGCGAGGAGGAGCCGACGTTAAATCCAGTTTGCCCGTCAGGTCTGAGACAGACACTGTGCTAGTGGAATGGTTGGGGGAGGCACCACCGCTGATTCGGTTACCCAGCTTGGGACTTACCGCCATTGTTGCAGGCAAGTCCAACCTTATCGAGGTAGGGATGCATGTACGTGTGATGAGGTGTGAGGTAACCAGTACCTACTGGGCTCTATCTGGTCTTGTGAGAGAAGGAGTTGGGAGTACCTGCGTCATCAGGCATAGGTACAACTGGGACTAGCTGCGCTGTTGTTCATCAGGTCACGAGATGGAGTGCTAAGGCAGGTACGACTACGCTGGGCTTTCATCCCGATGGTTCCGGGTTTGGCGGTTCAGGGTTGGGCGCCATGCGATAGGTCGGGAGCTCTTGTTAATGCTTGCTCAAACTGGCGGGTTATTGTGTTTTGAGAGTCCCATGATCACGATCGGATTGTTATTAGTCTTCTAATTCAGGTTGCCTTCTAGCGGTGGGGTTATGGCCTTGTGCTAGGCAATGCGGAGAAAACATCCAGCACCCCACTCTTATCGCTGTTTTGTGTCCATGGATGTATTCGTCTGGCGGGACGGAGGTATAATTAGCATAAAAGAATTGCCCTAGTTATGATGCTGCTTAGTGTTTGGCTTATGTCTGTTAGATTCCGATACGCCAACTCTCTAGAGGCATTACGACGGATATACCGATAATGCCATGCACCGACATAAGCACGTGCCCGCAAAATGCTTATCGATAGCAACACCTAAACGATGTGGGCAGCGCGCCCTCGACCCAACTCGACTTTGTCATGACTGCGAGAACCCTGGACGCATTCTTGTCTCGGCGGTTATTGTCTCGTAGCGAAAGCTAGATTCAATCCAGAGAAAAGCGCGCGGTATCCGTTGGGTGTCGCTAAAATGGGAAAGCGCAAGAAGTCGTCGAGAGGCCCTCAGGGTCCAAAAAGGGTTTGAAGAGCCTGTCGCCGTTTTCTACGCGCCGTGAATACTGACTCTTTGCGCCCTCGATAGGCCGACCCTCTACCTACTGTTTTCACCTGCCTCTTCTGCAATCACGAGAGCTCAGTCACGGTCAAGCTGGACAAGAAGGCTGGCGTTGGCCAACTGGACTGTCGCGTGTGCGGGCAGAAGTTTCAATGCGCCGTCAACTGTACGTTCGCTGTCGCATTCACAGAATCAATCACTGACGTTGTCTTCTTTTGCGTAGATCTCTCTGCTGCCGTTGATGTCTATGGCGAATGGGTTGATGCCGCAGGTAAGTATCTTGTGCTATGTGGTGCATATGGACAGCCTCAAGGCCTAAACTAACACTCCAATAGATGCTGTTGCCAAGGAAGATAGCAGCGCCCAAGGATACGCGGGTACAGCTAGACCTCCTGGGCGAAGATTGACGAGTAAAGCTGCAGCGGGCGACGATGACGATGATCGATACGACGGCGAGGGCATTGTGGGCGACGACGAGATATGAGCCGAAGCTATGATACGATACATCTTTTCTAATGCCGCCCAGCCCAACCCAGCACAGAATATTATACCGTCAACCATGCGACGGCGCGAGTCTTTCTAGTCTATCCCAATGCAACCTTACCCCGCATTAGATGGTATAGAAGCGGTCGCCGAAATCTCCCAGGCCGGGCACAATGTAACTACAAGAAAGAAAGTTAGCGGGAGAACAGTGGTAACTGGCAAGCAGACCTACTTCTTGTCATCCAGGCCCTGCGAACAAATGTTAGAACCGACATCAAAATAGTGTTAAATAGGTAATTGACAAGCAACTTGGAGATGCCTTACCTGGTCGATGAATGCTGTGACAACTGTGACTCTGGGGAATTTTGATGCGAAGTTCTTGACACCTTCAGGGCTGGCAATCAAGTTCAGGAAAAGAATATGGTCCTCAGGGACACCACGGGACTTGAGAACATCTACAGCCATGATAGCTGAGCCACCTGTTTTCATGATTGTCAGTTACTCATCTTGTGTTGATTGAGGGCGCGCCTAACCAGTAGCGAACATGGGATCCAGGAGGAGGACCCAGCGTTGCGCAATGTCCTCCGGAAGCTTGTCGTAGAAAAGCTTAGGCATGGCAGTCTCCTCATCTCTTTGGATCAAGATCTTGCCGATTCGCACGGATCGGCAACAGTCTCGCAGACCCTGCTCCATGGCCTCACCAGCTCGCATGATGGAGACACCGCAGATTTTCCCTTGGAACATGAGCCCATTGTAGGTGTGACCAACAGGAGTGGTGACATTTCGCTCAATGACAGGAAGGTGGTTCAATCCCTCCTCAACAAGCAAGCGGATGATACGGTTGGAGTAAAAGATGAAATCGGCCCTGTCAGTATCCTTGTTACGGATCATGCTGCCCGCACTTTAGTCCCCGTACTTCAAGAGCCTGATATGGAGCTTAAGACCTACGACAGCAGCGCAATTAATTGAGGAGTCTGAGCGAGAACCTTGACGTTCTCGACGTCGACATTGACTGACACCGTAGCCGTCGGCTTCGACTCCTGCGACCTGAACTCAGGTCCAACGGACTGTGTGGGAGCTGGAGCGGATGACATGACTATATCGGTGATATGTTAGCCCACTTTGAAGCATTTCACATCTTCTAAGCCGCAGAGCCATTGATCTGCCGATGATGGAGCTGGGAGGCCAAACTAGCCACCTCGACGAACCAATTTCATGGCTTGCGTCTGGGGTTCGCTGTGATAACCCATCTGTCTCACTTACTCTGTGAGAAGACCACTTACCGCCTTGTTATAACCCTTGGTGAGGATTGGCTGAGAAAAGTAGATTAGAAAGTGACCAGAAGCTGATGATTGCTGAACCAATGTCGAGCTTGTGACAGCGGTTTTTTAAAGGAAGAGGAGAGTTCCAAGCTCTGTTGATGCCTTCCCCAATCCGGTATCAGCTATCGTGAGGAGGCAGTGGGAGGCAAATCTTATGCATTAAAGCAAGCCGGGTGCAGCTTGTTCAGTGGGAGCTGATAAGCCGAGGGCGGCAGGTACAAAACGCTACTTGCACTTTGCGTGCACAAAATTTGTGCATAACATAAACCGCCTAATTGACCCCAGCTCCCTTCAGACCACTGCTACATACCTACCTACCTTAGCGCAGGGCCAGTCGCCCGCCTGCCAGTGCCGTACCGCTTACCTACCTGTAGGCTGGTAGGCTAGTTGGCCTAGCGCGGCCAGTCAGTCTGGTGGAGGGATCGCCTTGATCAAGCCTCACTGTTATACCACGAGACGCATATTCCTTGCCTCAACCTCTTGATGCTCTCGCTCCCCGCACCCTCCGGCCTTGAAAAGTCGCATACCGCTTTGAGGTCGCATGGGCGACTCCGAGAGTTCATCAATCGCAGCACGAATGTATTGAGTCTTTCATTCTCACCGCGGTCTCATCCGTTGTCGCAACCACAATCGCTCTTGCTTGATCCACCATGATGGCATCACGAAACGGACCCAAAGGTCCTGCCCCGAAGAAAAATGCTGTCACATACGGCAAGGCTCCCCGGAGTCGCCCTCTAGGAAGTTCGAATACAATCGCTGAGTCAAATCCCTACGACTTTCCCGACTCTGATGGCTCCGACGCATCACCAGCGCCACGGAAACCAAACCTTCCCAAGATGAAGCCGGCGACGCTCCCACGACCCCCCAATGTCCATCGCGGCCCGGTAGATACAGGAAGAGCGCGTGTTCCGGCGAAGCAAAAAGAAAACGATGGCGATGCGCGCAAGAGAACCCATTCCAAAGCCTTTGTCGAAGATGGTATTGTTGTGACACGCCCCCCATCGAATTCCTTCAGCGCACGTCTCAAAACAACACAACCGATATCTGAACCCAACCCCCGAATCATCCCGAAGCCGATTCCCCGCGATCAGATTCAGAACAGGAAGCCCAGACCTCCTACGACATCGAACCCAGCTCCGGTTGCTCGCATGCCCGTGAGGCCACTCAAGACCGTTGGATCCGCAAATCCCACCAAGAAGCTGGAGCCCCCTAAACCACAAGCCCGGAAGCCCCGGTTGATCGATAGACTTGCTTCCCAAGCAGAGGAGGAATCCGACTCTGAAACCGATGACTCCAGTGCAAGTGAGGATGGCCGAGATCGAACCCTCAGACACAGATCACAGACACCTGCATCTCAGAGAGCAAACACTGCTATGGAGTGGTCTCAATCAAGGCCAGAGCAAACGAAGACGCCTGCAAGCAAAAAAATCAAGCATACATACAGTCAAGCCCGAAGCATTCGAGAGGATACTCAGCAAGGCGATGATCCTTACGGTTTGTCGGCCGATGCCCAATTGGATTCCCTATTATCAAGCCCTCCAATTAATGCTAGTAACCCACCATTTTCACTTCCTGCGGATGACTTCGATCTGGACGATGAAGAAGACGATTGCCCTAAATCCGCAATTAAGAGTATCCACGAATTGCGCCGTGCTGGCGCAAACAACCGTTTCGCCGATGAGATGGAGGACTTGCTATCAAGAATTGGCGCTCCTGCTCGGGATCAGATATCAATGAGGCGCAACTCATTATTGGAACTAGCACAGAAACTGCAGCGGGATGATTTCGCAGCGCAGTTTAGGGACCACGCCGCTCGCGATACCATTGCAAAAGGTATTGGACAAGAGACTGACATTGTCAGTGGTTTTGCTTTCACGTCAAGCCTTGTGTTGTTTTTATCATCGAATAACGCGCCTCACCTTCTTAGGCGGCTTGTTGAGGAAAGGGTTGGGAAGATGCTCAGCGAGCTATTACGAATCCGGGACGATATTACCGTTTTGGCTGCGCAAAGGGCAATGAATGTGTCGAAGGCAGGTCGTGCGTCACTTAGCGGAGT